CTCCCCCCTCCCTTCTGCCTGTCCACGTTGGCGTGACCAAAGCGCCTGCTGACCACATCCAAACCGCAGGAAACATAGGAATTGATTCTGACCCAACTGTGAAAAACTCGTAGCCTCGGTGGGATTCGAACCCACGACAGCAAGGGGAGGCTTAGGTGCAGCCAACGCTCCAACCATCTGAACTACGAGGCCCAAAGTCTGCCAACACACCTTTGAAAAAAAAACAGAGAATAGCTTGACAAAAACCACTGCATCCTCCATGAAAAGCTGTAACCATCGGAAGATATCACCGTCCTGAAGGCGTTTCATCCTGGTGGCCGTACAAATGCCGCTCAACGGACGCGACCACGACCCCTAACAATCATCATAGACTGCAATGAGCGCCCGAAACTAATGCTTTCTAGGCGTTTAGGCCTGAAGCATTCCCAAAAAGAAGTTTGTTTTTTTTTAGCTGGACTACTCACATGCCCAAAAAATGAAACTCCACGAAGCAGCGAAGAACAGAAGATGGTAATCTACAAAGAACAGATAGTAGAAGAACACTCTGCTCCCATCTGAATCAAAGCGATTCGAAGGGCTGCACAGATACCCCCAGTAGACTCTGTCAGGGTTGTAGACAAATCCCGCACGAACTCGAAACACCCATTCATGTATACTAACGCGCAAAGTGTACTTCCACATGTGGGATGGACTCCGAATCCTTATTTTCGACCTCCACCCAGACGTTATCTCAATAGCACAAACATGTTTGTCCGAACAGGTATATGATAGGGAGCTTGCGCTTCCTGGATTACAACTGCTCCGCAGTAACAGAAAAATCAACCAGAAGGGGTGGTGGCATAGCAACATTTACTAAGAATGGCTTGTATGTTTCAGAAAAAACCGCTAAGCCGACTCGTAGTACGGAAGCATTATGGCAGGCCGTAAGGGCATCGAGCTCTCAAAGCCTCGATACCTTGACAGTACTTGAATGAAATGACCCTAACGCTGATGCCCAACTTCTAGATGAACTCTACGCGGCCGAATACTCTCATGGTTGGGAACTTCAATGCATCCACATCGACTGGAGCTCGGCCTCCGCATTCGACCTGCAGCTTCTGCCTACCACCGGCAATCTGCTTCTCACCCAACACATTATGCCTCCCACGATAGTGCGTGAAGGCCAACAAATGAACTGTCTCAACATTGTGTTCACTAAGTCGTCTGATAACATTGACGTTGTGAA